TTCATTATTTAACTATATCCTATATCATAACATTTTCCCCCTATTAGTTAAAACTTAACTGTATCTAATTTTGTTTTTTTATTATTATTATTATTAATAATAATAATCTTTATATATAGTCCAAAAATATTTCTAACCTTCCCTTCTCATATCCAATTATTACTTATCATAACAGCTCATCATTGTATACATTACTATCATTATCATTTTTTAAAAAATTTTTATTTTATCAATTTCATATATACATTCACAATTATATGATCTCATAACTGTTATTAATAATATGTATTTATAACAATTTTTTCCCTACAGTTGACAATATACTTGAAATCAATTTTTATTTAACTGTACCTATTACCACTGCTCTATTCTATTCTTTATTCTTTATTCTTTCTGATTGCTATTCTCTCTTCTATTCTTAGCCGCGGGCTGGACTAGAAGACCTCCAAGGTCCCCTTCCCCCCCTCAGCAGTTATCCCGGGTCTCCTCTTGTGTATTTCAGCACTTCTTCGAGATCACGGATGACCAGTTCGACTTCCACACGTACTGCATGCGGAAGATGACGCTGCGTGCCTACGTCGATCTCCTGCGGCTGGAAGATGTGCTGAGGAAACACGCCTTCTACTTCAAGGCCGCCCGATCCGCCATCGAAATCTACTTGAAGCTGCACGACCAGCCGTTGGCCAGCGAGAACAAAGAGCAGGAAGTCAACTCAGGTACCTGAGCTCTCGCCGGGCAGGATTCAAATTCGCTCCCCAAAGCGGGGGGGGGGGATCCTGGGAAGCCAAGTGTGTGATCTTACCGGCCGTTATCGGGAGGTATGCGGCGGAAGACGGGTCTCGCGGAAGGTTGTGGAACGCGGTAAAACCCACTGAACAAACGTTAACCGTTGACCGCAGATCAATTGTTGATTCTTCCGTCTCGAGGGGCTACCAGCCCCGGGTCGAAATCGAGAAAAAAAACTTAATTCTGTTTCCTACAGAAAACCTTTCCGCCAAAGAACTGAAGAAAATGCTGAGCAAGCAGCGGCGGGCGCAGAAGAAAGCGAAACTGGAGGAGGAGAAGAAGCACGCGGAACGAGAGCGGCAGCAGAAGAGTCAGAAGAAGAAACGAGACGAGGAAGAAGAGGAGACCAGCGGCCCGAAGGAAGAATTGGTCCCTGAGAAACTGGAAAGGGTAAAAACTTCCACCACAAAACCGCGGTAGACAAAAGCGCGCTCGACGAAAGCGCATACGTGACATCATCACAGCGCGACGAAAACATCGCGCTGTGATCGAT